ATTTAGAATTAGAATGTGTTTTTCTTCTGAAGTTTATAAAGGGCTGCCACGTCACCTTCTGGACATTCCTGTGAGCTTTTACTTTTTCTTAAATGCAGGCAAAACAATGCAAACAAAATGAGTCATCCTGTAATCACAAACCCTTAGGCACACTTTCAATATGCATGTCATATTGTATTTTTTGAAGGTTCTGGGTTAAAAATGTGTTTAGCTTTCTTGGCTAAGTTTAGATGTATTTCTTTGAGAGGAATTATCTTACAGTTGCTGAATAAAACTAAAAACTCTGATTCTTTGTACATGCGTGTACCTGGAAACACCTCTGACACTAATTGGCTTTCTAAAATGGGACTTAAATAATTTCTTAAAATAGTTTTCCTCTCTACACTTTGTGCATCCTATTTCTGGACTTTGAGTGATGACCCTATTTATAAGTATGTTTATTAACCAGAACTTTAAATAAAATGAGATAAATTAAGCAGAGTACAGAAGAATAAAATATGAAACGGTTATAAACTGTTATAATCTGTTTTGTTGCAGGGTTTGTACTATATAATTAACTGAATAAGATACCTTGTGTAGCTCCTACAGTATATGTACTACAGGAATTCTGCGTGCTCTCCACACTGAAGTGCTATTCAGGTCTCTTGACTGTGTGCTCTTGCAGTGAACTCCAATCAGGATTGAGCTGAACAGTGCAGTAGAATGTTATAAACAGTAGATCAACAGGACTGTATTGTGGTAACAGACTGAGATAAACTTTCATAAAAGCAGATTTAACAGAGAAACGTGTTTCTGATCTGATTAAAAATGCAATTGCAGGGTCTTGATTTCTCTGTGGTTATTTCTTTCTGTCTCCCTTTCCCCCTAGCCGTTTTTTTAGAGAACACAGGCATGTCTCACCAGCTTGTTCTGAAAACTGAGGACAGGCTGGGCCATTAGACTTTCTTTACACTGTCAGAACACCAGAAAGTGAATGAAGGCCATTGGGCTCCTCATGCTCAGATGGCTCTGTTTTTCTGTAGTCACATTGACAGTCTTGTTTGCTTGGGACAGCAGTCCAGAGTATTTAATCAAGCCTAACCTGTCTTTGGTGTCTTTGGATGGTAGGAAATAACAGGAGAACATGATCCAAGTACCCAGGGTAGACTCCACACAGAGAGGGATGCCAAACTCTAACTCAGGCCTAGAAGTCTGCAGTATTTCTGCCTAAATTAAATAACTTTTGCTTAAGTGTGCAGGATTTAGCTGCAGACAAAAATTGACACTGAAGGAGAATGACCAGTATTGATGTCGCACCAGCACCCCTATAAATTAGTTGTTTGCAAAGCATTGTGATTTTGTGATACACGTGATTTCCCTTTTATTTCCCACAGGGAGACCGTGCACTCAGCTGCAGATACTAACGCCTGAGCGATCGGCTCGTCTCATCAAGGAGATCCTGACGACAGTGTGGCCTTCCAGAGACGCATCAGTACCTTGGAGCCCTGGCAATCAAGAGAAAAATCACCCTTCAGTTTCTTGGCTCAAAATGGTGTGGAAGTACCTCTACATTAATTTCCCTGAGGACCTTAGTACCTTTGAGGACATGCCTTTGATCCCAAACGTGCCCTTGGAAGACACCGTAACATCTTTAGAGCTGCTGAGGCTTAAAACCCCATCCCCAATCATTCTAGAAAGCGAAGAGGAGTCTCCTCTGCCTGAGCACCTCCCAGAGATCATTAAAAAACTTGGAGGAATCATCATCCAAAAACTGGACTCGTCCTTGCAGCACCCTCTTCTCCATAAATACATCCATCCGCCCACGGCTTGCTCAGTGCTGCAGATCATGGACAGGTCCTCCACTCAGAGGGTGGCTAGTCAGGTTACGGCCTTTCCTGCCAAGTACAAAGTTGCGTTGAGAAGTTTCTTAGCTCGCCTTCCTGATGTCAATGAGAAAGAGATGCGAATCCTCCAGGAGCTCATGATATTTGAGAAGATAGGGCCACTGGACGAGAAAGGGACTCCAGCATTTACTGTGTTGAAGGGAGCTAAAGCTTTGCAGCATGCGGCAAAACTTCCACCCAACATCAGGCTGTCCGTCAATGTGATTGACAACAGCGATGAAGCGGCTGTTCGCCTCATCAAGATGTTGAACGTGGAGCAGCTGAAGAGCACTGACTGTTTAAAGTTGATTATTCAAGACATTGAAAAGGGCTTTTACTCAAAAGAGGAAATAACTGAGATCATGCTTTGGGTACTGAAACATCTGTCATTCCTAAAAAATGAAAATCCGGCTGTGATACAATGGTTGTCATCGCTGAAGTTTATTCAGACCGCTCATGGAAAGCTTGTTGCTGCCACTGAACTTTTTGATCCAGAGTTAGAGATCCTGCAGAGCTTGTTCTACACTGAAGAAAAGATTAGGTTTCCACCGAGCACATTTACTTCATCTCCCGACATTCTCCATTCTTTAAGACAGTTGGGCTTAAAAAATGAAGTGCAGCTGAGTGAGAAGGATGTTCTTCAGGTTGCGAGGAAAATCGAGGATTTACAGAGGACTGTCAGAAGTGAGTGGGGTCCCCTGCTTGAGAAAGCCAAAACACTGTTGACTATCTTAACAAAACAAACCAAGTTAGTGAAGTCGTCAGAAATCCAGGTTTCCTTGCAGAAGCTAAAGTGGGTGCCTGTGTGTAAGGACAGACCTCTAAACTATCCACATTCCCTGGAATGGAAGGGAGATAACTTGAACATCTCTTCCCTTTGTGAAATGTGTGATATATCTCAAGCAGTGTTAGTGGGCTCCTCAGTTGCCCTGGTGGAGAGGATTTCTGCAGGCATGAAAAAGGCTCTAAAGTTATCTATAGAACCCCAAGTAGACCAGGTACTGCAGCATTTAAAGGCAGTGGTTGACTGGCACAGATCGCAGGCATTCACAACAGAAGACTGGTACCAATTCCAACAAATACTCCTTGAGATTTACGAATTCATGCAAGAACATCTGGAAAGTGCTAGAGAAGTTATTAAGTCATTGCCATTTGCCTGGGTCTGGACAGGGAAAACCTTTTCTTCCCCTGTGCAAACGGTTCTAAAACCCATTCCTGATCTTGATCTGCAGCCTTATTTGTACTCCCTGCCCAAAACCATAGCAAAATTCCACAAACTCTTTCAGTTCTGTGGATCAGTCGAACAGGTTATTCCTGAGCATGTGTTTGAGGTTATCAGCATCATAAAAGAATGCAGTGAACGGGAAATGACAAAGGAGGAGAGCAAGCAGAACCTCCTGCTTTTGCTCAACATCCTCCGATGGCTTTATAGCAACCAGATCTCTGTAGCTCTTGACACGCCTGTACCCATACTCTACATCAAGGATCCACACAGACTAGTCATGAAGCCCATACATGAATGCAGCTACTGTGACATTAAAGTGGATGACCTTAACGACTTGCTTGATGATGTGTCAGAACCAATTATTTTGGTTCATGATGATATCCCCATGAAAACAGCAGAATGGTTAAAGGTGCCTTGCCTGAGCACTAGACTCATCAACCCAGAAAACCTGGGCTTTGAGCAGTCAGGCCAGCGGGAACCCCTGACAGTGAGAATTAAGAATATTTTAGAGGAGTACCCTTCAGTTTCCGATATCTTCAAGGAGCTGCTACAAAATGCTGATGACGCCGGTGCAACAGAGTGTAGCTTCTTAATTGACATGCGGAAGAATCTTGATATCCGAGAGAACCTGTTAGATCCTGGCATGTCTGTTTGTCATGGTCCCTCGTTGTGGTCCTTCAACAACTCTGTCTTCTCGGACTCAGACTTTGTAAATATAACCAGGTTGGGAGGGTCTATGAAGAGGTGCGAAGCTGACAAAGTGGGGAAATTTGGCCTGGGCTTTAACTCGGTGTATCATGTCACTGATATCCCCATCATTATGAGCAGGGAGTTCATGATCATGTTTGATCCTAACATCAACCACTTGAGCAAGCATATCAGGGACCGATCCAATCCAGGAATTAAAATCAACTGGAGCAAACAACAAAAACGGTTAAGAAAGTTTCCTAACCAGTTCAAGCCATTCATTAATGTTTTTAATTGCAAGTTGCCGCTTTCACAGGAGTTACCTTACAAGTACAATGGGACTCTTTTTCGTCTCCCCTTCAGAACTGAGCAAGAGGCTTCTGTGAGTGAAATAAGTGGCCTGTATTACAATACCACTGATATTTACTCGCTTGTAGATGAGTTCAGTATCTGTGGACACAGGCTGATTCTCTTCACGCAGTATGTGGGCTCGATGGTTCTAAAGTACCTGAAGTATGAAGAGCCGAACCCTGCTGGCTCACAGGATGTAGTCACCATAAACAAATGTGTGTGGTCTTCTAAGGCTACATATGGACCAGTAAGCATCTTGAAAGCAGCTGCAAAGGTGATGAAAAAGGTTGCAAACACTAACAGAGTGCCCTCTGACATCCCCAGATCTGCCTGCATCATTAGGATTGTGGTCGAAGAGTTTCATAATGTGTTCAGGCGCATCGTTGATCTCCAGTCCCCTCTTTTTAGAGGTCCAGAGGACGATCCGTCGTCTTATTTTGAGCTTGCTGCCAAAGGTTCTCAAGCCAAAAGGGGAAGTGAAGAAGTTCCCCAAAAAGCCGTAGATATTACCAACTGGCTTATATGCTCATGCATGGATGTCGGCGAAGCCCTCAAATTTTCACTAAACGAAAGTGGGAGGAGGCTTGGTTTGGTCCCATGTGGAGGCGTGGCTGTGCTGCTTGCTGAAAAAGACGACCATGTTTGGACGGTAAAGACAAACCCGACTCCTATTGGGGAAGTATTTTGTTATCTGCCTCTCCGAATCAAGACTGGGCTGCCTGTTCACATCAATGGATGTTTTGCTGTGACATCAAACCGCAAAGAAATTTGGAAGACAGACACAAAAGGACGCTGGAATTCTATTTTTATGAGACATGTGATTGTTCAAGCATACCTAGAAGCACTTAACACACTCCGCGTCATGGCAATAAATGGCGAACTAGTCAACTACAACTACTATGCAGCGTGGCCTGACCCCAGTCTTGTTCATGATGACTTTGCATTGGTCAGTCAAGGAGTTTACCAAGAAATAGCTAAGGGGGGAGACAGAGATCTTGCAAAGGTTTTTTCGGATGGCAAAAACTATGTATCCATCAAGTACGTGCGCTTTCTGGATGATTCTTTGCTGTGCCGTCCAGATATTGGTCCTGCTGCCTTCAAGATATTTTTGAAGTATCTTAGAAAGAGTGGTTCTCAAGACCTCTGTGCCGTCGAGCTTCCCTACTGGGTTAAGGAAGGATTTGAAGATGCTGGATGCAAGGGCATGCTCATGGAAAACACTTTAACAGAGAAGCAGTTCTTCTCAGATGTCTTTTTCCCACACATCCAAGATATTGAGAAGGAGCTGCGTGACCCTTTAATGTACTATGTCCTCAATGAGAAAGTAGAAGAGTTTGCAGCTATCCTGAAAGTGACACCATGTATTCCATGCTCTGGAAAATCCAATCAACTTGTTGTTCCTTCAAGAGTCATTCATCCAGAGGGAAGAGTTGCAAAACTGTATGACACCAGTGATGGACGTTTTCCACAGGGAACCTCGTCAGACTACCTCAATCCAGTAGTGTTGGTCAAGCTGGTACAGCTGGGAATGGTGAAGGATGATATTTCCTGGGAGGACCTGATCGAACGTGCAGAGTCTGTTGCAGCACTAAATGAAAGTGACCATACTGCAGCATGTGTCCGTGGCAGTACACTATTAAGCCTTGTGGATGAAAAGTTAAAAATAAGAGACCCAAGAGCAGGAGAGTTTAAAGAGAAGATTCAGAACATTCGGTTTCTCCCATTCTTGACAAAGCCAGCTGGTTTCTCTTTACCATGGCATGGGAATAACTTTCCTCCATCAACAATGTTCACAGCTACTGACCTTTACACAACTGAGCACCAAGACACTGTCTGCCTGATGAAGCCTATCCTCAATGAGAACTCACCATCTTTTAAGGGATGCGGTCCCATCACCTTGGCAGTGAAGGATTTTCTGGGGTTAATAAAAAAGCCAACTGTCGAACTTGTAATGAACCAACTCAAAGAACTTTCTAAATCCTTTGATGGGGTTACCCTGTATCAGGAAAATATTACTAACGCCTGCTACAAGTTTCTGCATGAAGAAATGTTACAGAATGATGATGCAAAAGAAAAGATAATGCAAGAGCTTAAAAACTTCTGCTCCATTCTTGTGGAGAATACTTATATCGATCCAGCAAAGGTTGCTTTCCATTTGAACTTTGATGCTGCTCCATACCTTTACCAGCTTCCAAATAAATACAGAAACACTTTCCGGGAGCTTTTCGAGAATGTTGGGGTTCAGCCCAGCTTCACCGTTAAGAACTTTGCTGCTGTTCTGGAAGCTGTAAAAAAAGAATGTGGCCGAAAACCCCTCTCTGAAGACAGCTTCCAGCTCTGCCGTAGAATTGTTAGCGAAGGAATATGGGGTTTGATCAGAGACAAAAGCCAGGAATTCTGTCAGAGTACATACGGGGAGATACTTTTACCGGATTCCCATTCTTCACTCCAGCCATCTAAATCTCTCTGTTACAATGACTGTCCTTGGATCAAAGTCAGAGACACCACCGTGAAGTACTGCCATGCTGACATTCCCAGAGAGGTGGCAGTAAAGCTGGGGGCCATTCCCAAGCGCCACAAAGCACTCGAGCGCTATGCATCCAACATTTGCTTCACAACTCTCGGCAGCGAATTTGGACAGAAAGAGAAGCTTACTAGCAGAATCAAAAGCATTCTGAATGCTTACCCGTCAGAAAAAGAGATGCTGAAGGAGCTGCTGCAGAATGCAGACGACGCCAAAGCTACAGAAATTTACTTTGTGTTCGATCCCAGGAGTCATCCGACGGACAGGATATTTGACGATAAGTGGGTTCCGATGCAGGGGCCAGCCCTTTGCGTGTACAATAATCAACCTTTTACAGAAGACGATATACGAGGAATCCAGAACCTGGGGCGTGGGACAAAAGAAGGGAACCCAGGAAAGACCGGGCAGTACGGGATAGGTTTTAACTCCGTTTACCATATCACAGATTGCCCTTCTTTCATTTCCAACAATGACATTCTTTGCATTTTTGATCCTCATGCACGCTATGCACCAGGATCAACATCTGTTAGCCCTGGGAGAATGTTCAGAGACCTGGATTCTGACTTCAGAACACAGTTTTCCGATGTCCTAAACCTCTATCTGGGGGAACGTTTTAAACTTGATCGCTGCACAATGTTTAGATTCCCCATACGCACTGCGGACATGGCCAAGGTTTCAGAAATCTCTTCTGTACCTGCCTCGGACAGAATGGTGCAGAATCTCCTTGAAAAACTGAAAGCTGATGGCGCGGAGCTCCTCATGTTCCTTAATCACATGGAGAAAATTTCAATCTGTGAAGTTGAGAAGGGCACGGGTGAGCTGAAAGTCTTGTACTCTGTGACTGCTAAAATCACTGATGGAGACCGTCTGAAACGTAAGCAGTTTCATGCTTCTGTAGTTGACAGTGTTGCAAAAAAGAAGCCCCTGACTCAAATCCCTGTCCAGCAGATCACATACACAATGGATATTGAAGACTCTGATGGCAATTTAATGACTTGGCTGGTCTGCAACAGATCTGGCTTTTCGAACACACAAAAAGTCTCAAAGAGTGTGATTTCAGCCCACAAGAATGAAGATATAACTCTATTTCCTCGTGGTGGTGTGGCGGCATGCATTAGCCACAACTATAAAAAGCCCCACCGAGCTTTCTGCTTCTTGCCTCTGTCTTTAGAGACTGGTTTGCCCTTTCACGTGAATGGTCACTTTGCTTTAGATTCTGCTAGGAGGAACCTGTGGCGGGATGACAATGGAGTTGGGGTGAGGAGTGACTGGAATAACAACCTTATGACAGCCTTGATAGCGCCAGCCTATGTGGAGCTTTTAATTCAGTTGAAGAGACGCTTCTTCCCAGGCTCTGATCCTACTCTTACTGTGTTACAAGGAACAGCTATCCACATCGTAAAAGACACTCTGAGGAAATTTCTGTTCTTCTTCCCTGTAAATCGGCTTGACATTCAGCCAGATTGGTATTGTCTTGTCAAGGCCGTATACAGCTGCATTCACGCTGACCTGAAGCGCTTACTGCCAGTTGTTCGGGCTCCTCATATAGACAATACGGACTTGCACGCAGCCATTTACATATCGTGGGTGAATACGTCCACTGCCCCTAAAGGACAAGCGTTTTTTGACAACCTGCTTCAGGATGAACTACAGCACCTGAAGAATACAGAGTACAACATCACCACACGCAAAACCATTGCAGAAAACGTCTACAGATTGAAAGCTTTGCTTTTAGATGTTGGCTTTAATTTGGTCCACAATTGTGATGAGACAGCAAGTCTTTACTATTGTCTCGAAGATGCCGGAATTCCTGTGAGTTACGTGACTCCAGCAGATGTTCGTAGCTTCCTTCTCACATTTTCCTCCCCCGACTCGAACTGCCAGGTGGGGAAACTGCCCTGTCGACTCCAGCAGTCAAATTTCAAGCTGTTCCACAGTCTCAAACTTCTGGTTGACTACTGCTTTAAAGATGCAGAAGAAACTGAAATCAAAATAGAGGGGTTACCTCTGTTGATAACAATGGATAACATCCTGCAAGTGTTTGACAGCAAAAGACCAAAGTTTCTGACCACTCACCATGACTTGATCCCGTCACGAAAGGAACTTTTCATGAACACGCTCTACATGAAATACAGCAATATCCTTCTGAAGTCTGATGTGGCAAAAGTCTTCGACATCAGCAGCCTGGGGGATCTGCTGGGGTCTGTGCTTCCACGGGAGTACAGAACAAGGGCTGTGGTGAAGTGGAAAGACAACTATGCCAGTGAGTCATGGCTGAAGAATGTTTGGCATTTTATAAGTGACAATGTCTGCATCAAAGAGGAACAATCTGACCTAAAACCAAAATTTGAGACTGTTCTAGATATTCTGAAGGACTGGGCTTTGTTACCAGGAACAAAGTTCATGGTTTCCAGCAACATGTTAGTGGTACCAGAGTGTGATGTTTTGCTACCTCTCAGCCTGATTTATGCAGCTATTTTTCCAAATGGACAGAATGACAAAGTGTTTCACACCTTGATGAAGGCAGGATGTATTCAGCTTGCACTGAACAAGATCTGCACTAAAGAAAACCCTGTAGTGCCTTTTCTGGCCCATCACACAGCAAATATAGACAATCCCTCCAGCATCCTTAAAGCTTTAGAGTACATGATTCAGACTTCAGCCTTCAACACAGGGGGCCTGAAGAACAATGATTTTGAAGCACTTCTCTTATACTTCAATTGCAATTTAATCAATTTGTCTCAGGAAGATGTGCACAGCCTGAAGTTGCTTCCCTGTTACAAATCAGTTAGCGGTCGGTACATCAACATCTCCAAATTTGGGTCCTGTTTTGTTCTCACAAAAAGCATTCCCTCTGCCGATATGGAAAAATGGGCGCAGTCTACATCATCTGCCTTTCTGGTTGATAATCCGCAGTTGAGGGAACTTTATGGTTTCCTTGGCTGTGTTCCAGTTGACGACCTTGAAGTTTACTTAAAGCATTTGCTTCCAAAGTTCGACAGTCTTTCCTATGATGCAAAGATTGAACACTTAATTTATCTGAAGGACAGGCTCCTGAGTATGGAAGATTACTCCGTAATTAAGGATCAGCTATATGAAAAACTTGAAAGCCTTTCATTTATTTATGATTCGACAAGAAGACTAAAACCTGCAAAAACATTTTTTGACCGAACTGTTAAAGTGTTTGAAGTGATGCTGCCTGAAAAGGCATTCATACCCAATGAGTTCTTCAAGAAAATCGAACTGGTATCAAAGCCCAAGAATGGAACCTCTTTCCTTGCCACCTGGATATCTTTCCTGAGGAATGTAGGTTTGAAGCATGTCATTTCTCAACAGCAGGTGCTGCAGTTTGCTAAGGAAGTTAGCATAAAAGCTCAGACTGAGAATTGGTCCAAAGAAAAAACCCAAAATGTAGTAGATGTTCTTCTCAATCACATTTTCAATGAGAGAACAGACCTCTTCCTTGGAACATTTATTAAAGAGCTTTCGATGATCCCATTTTTGTGCCCAGAACGTGCCACTGCAGAACTTCTTCGGCTTCATGCTCAGTACCAAGAGATTAATGGCACTCTCCCCCTAATTCGTTTTAATGGATCACAGGTGAACCCAAAGTTCAAGCAAGCAGATGTCATGCAGTTGCTCTGGACCTCCTGCCCCGTCCTACCAGAAAAAGCTACTCCAGCAAGCATCAAAGAACAGGAAGGGAGCACCTTAAGTGCACAGGAACAACTAGATCAGGTCTTGACCATGCTGAATGTCAACATGGATCCGCCTTTGGACAAAGTAATTAGCAACTGCAAGAATATCTGCAGCATACCTAACCTAGATGATGACATGGTCAAAACAAGGGTCAAAGTTTTAAGGAGCACTTATGAATTTCTGAATGCAGATAAGAGGGATTTTCGCTTTCAGCTTCGAGGTGTTGCCTTTGTTATGGTTGAAGATGGCTGGAAACTCCTAAAACCAGAAGAGGTTGTCATTAATCTGGAAAATGAATCTGACTTCAAACCATACTTGTACAAACTGCCTTTGGAACTTGGAACATTTCATCAGCTGTTTAAGCTTTTGGGTACCGAAGACATTGTATCCACAAAACAATATGTTGAAGTTCTGTGTCGCATATTTAGAAATTCTGAAGGCAAGCAGCTAGATCCAAATGAAATGAGAACTGTGAAAAGAGCCGTCTCAGGTCTTTTCAAAAGTCTCCAAAATGAACCAGTTCAAGTCCGGCAAGACTTAGAAATCCTCAGAGATTTAACCTTTTATCTTCCAAGCCATGATGGTAGACTAGCAAAATCTAACACTTTAGTTTTTGATGATGCTCCACATTACAAAAGCAGGATCCAGGGTAACATTGGTGTTCAGATGCTTGTTGACCTGAGTCAGTGTTACCTGGGAAAAGATCATGCATTCCACACTAAGATGATAATGCTGCTTCCTCAAAAGCTCAGGCCCAGGCTCCTCAGTAGTATTTTGGAGGAGCAATTAGATGAAGAAACTCCTAAAATGTGTCAGTTTGGGGCTCTTTGCTCTCTTCAGGGACGTCTTCAGCTGCTCCTTTCATCAGAGCAGTTCATTACAGGGTTGATTCGCATTATGAAGCATGAAAATGACAATGCTTTTTTAGTCAATGAAGAAAAAGCCATTCGATTGTGTAAGGCACTTTGTGAGGGTTTGAAGGTTTCTTGTTTTGAAAAACTGCAGACTACACTGCGGGTAAAAGGCTGTAGCCCCATTCCACAAAGCAGGTGTGAAACGCTTGCCTTTTTAAAAAGGTACGGGACTGCAGTGATCCACCTCTACATTCAGCACTCAGACAGCAAAGATATTAATTTCCTGCTAGCCTTGGCAATGACCCTGAAATCTGCAACAGACAATTTGATCTCTGACACATCATACCTGATTGCTATGCTAGGCTGTAACGACATCTACAGAATTACAGAGAAACTGGACAACTTGGGTGTCAAGTATGATTCTACCGAACCCTCGAAACTTGAACTTCCTCTTCCTGGGACGCCCATACCAGCTGAAATTCACCATATCCTGCTAATGGACCCCATGAATGTGTTCTACCCCGGGGAATATGTGGGGTATCTTGTTGATTCTGAAGGAGGGGATGTCTATGGCTCCTATCAGCCCACTTACACCTATGCTATCATCGTTCAAGAAGTAGAACGGGAGGAGGAGGAAAACCCAAGCTTTCTAGGGAAACTATTCCAGATTGACATTGGATACAGCGAGTACAAGATTGTCAGCTCGCTGGACCTGTATAAGTTCTCGAGACAAGACGAAAGTTCTCACATCCGGGACAGTGCGCCTTCCACACCCACAAGCCCCTCTGAATGCCCCTCCCCGGGTCCCCGCATGGTGCCCCCACTCTTCCCAGGGAAGGAGAGCCACAGGGCTGCTCCATCAAAGCAGTCCCCTCACAAATTAAAGCTCAATGCTCTGCCAGACATCCTCAAAGAAGTGACCTCCGTGATCGAGCAAGCGTGGAAGCTCCCGGAGTCGGAGAGGAAGAAGACCATTCGGAGGCTGTACCTCAAGTGGCACCCTGACAAGAATGCCGAAAACCTGGAAATAGCGACGGAGGTGTTCAAGCACTTGCAGAATGAGATCAGCCGGCTGGAGAAACAAAGCCTGGCAGAGCAGGCTGCCGACAGGGCCTCCAGGAGGCCCTTCTCCACCTCATCCACTCGCTTCCAGTCAGAGGCCAAGTTTTCATTCCAGAGGTTTTACACGTCATGGAACCAGGAAGCCACAAGCCACAAGTCGGAGAAACAGCAGTTCCGAGAACAGTTCACGAGCTACTCGGGATCTTCCCACTCTCCCCGTTTCTTTGTGCCCCCAACCTTCAAGTCTGTTGGCAATCCAGTCGAGGCTCGCCGGTGGCTCAGGCAGGCGAGAGCGAACTTCTCCGCTGCGCGGAACGACCTGCACAAGAACGCCAACGAGTGGGTGTGTTTCAAGTGCTACCTGGCCACCAAGCTGGCCCTCATAGCAGCGGACTATGCAGTCAGAGGGAAGTCGGACAAAGACGTGAAGCCTGCTGCTCTGGCACAGAAGGTGGAGGAGTACCACGAGCAGCTGGTAGGACTGGCGAATGACGTGCACATTTTGGAGGCTTACGGTGTGGACAGCCTGAGGACGCGCTACCCTGACCTCCTGCCCTTCCCCCAGATTCCCAACGACCGGTACACCTCGGAAGTGGCCATGAGGGTGATGGAATGCACAGCTCGTGTCATTATAAAACTTGAGAATTTTGTTCAGCAGAAAATATGATTCAGCTGTGATAGTGCTGTGAAGAGAAAGTAATATTTATACCCTATATATATATATGCATACATCTTCCAAACGTGGGAGAAAACAATAGTGGCTGTGTGCAATGTAGATGAAAATATTAAAGCGTTGAGGTAAAATTATGTTTCCAGCTGGCAGCTTTGGTATGCAGTATTGTTACTGTAAGTGTGTACGCAATATCTTAGATTACGGCTGCTTCTTATATAAAACAAGCAGCTATCTGAGCCTGAAAATAAATTGCTCATCCTTTTCTTTTCCCGTATAAAGGCACAGGATGGCTTTTAGCTGCGTAGCTGTACATAAAGAAGCCTCAGCAATTATTGGACTTTTTTTAACCGAAGGCCCCATGATGTATCTTTGCTATCTGGAAAAAAAGATGCTGCTGCATATTGTTTTTATTTACCTTTTATAAAAGTGTTTTTTCTTGAATCATTATAAATGTATTTAAAGAGACAGGAGAAGTTACCTGCACTGGAGAGTTCTTAACATCTAGATTTATATATGGAAAACAAATCAGGAGCCAGGTTTTTTTGTTAAAACTAAAAATAATCTCATAGTATGTAAGGTCTCCTTATCAGCTGGACCTGAAAAAAACAAACTTCTATATTTTTATTTGTTTTTTTAAAGAATTGTATTTACATAAGATTGTTTTGTTCTTCTCCAACGGTACATCATTAACCTGCAATGTGTTTTGTGTGGCATTTATCCTGTCAGTCAGAAGTCTTCATCGATCAAGAATGCACTTTCACAAGCGGCTCTTCAATTTGCACTTGCCTTGTGTAAAACACAGAACTTGTGTCTTCCCTTAATATGCTGGGGAACAGTCTATTAATTGCAATTTTGGATGTCACAGGACAGTAACTGAGTGTATAGAGTGAATTCTATACATTTAAGATGCATTTTGTTTAAGATTGTTTAGATGACCATTTTATGTTTGTTCCCTGTTTTGCTTTTGGATCTGCATTGCACACATGCAGTACAAGGATTTTAAATGCTAACTGGTAGGAGCACAACTGTACATTTCTGATGCTGAATTCCTGCAACACAAGTCTGTTACTTTAGCTCTGCCAAGCCTTCATGCCAAGTATCACTAGATTATCTTTGTGCTAAATGAATGTGTGAAAACAGCTGACCGTCTGATCAGGCTGCTGGAATGACATGGTGTATTGACTAACTATAATCACAGTCATACTAGGAATGTTATTCAAGGATCAGTTACACAACCCCACACTCTGGGATTGACGATCATCTCTGGAAGGCAGATTGTTACATTGAGTCAGGGGCAATGCAAGCTTGTTATAAATTGAGAATCAGAGTTGTACTTTTTTATTCCTTGGAAACAATGCAATAAGTAGCAGAGAACATTATGTATTCTGCCAAATTATGTTTTATTCTTCTTATTATTGTTTTTTTTATGTTTGATTTTACGGTACCTTTGTCAGTACTGGAGACTTCTCTTCTTGATTGAAGGAAGTTGCAGGTCATATGTTCATATAAGTGGTGCTCACTTTTAAAACATTTTTTTATGTTACTGGATCGAATGGCATCACAGCTGTGCACAAACAGCAGTAAGATGTTTTAATGTCATCTTGCATGTACTGTATATGAGTGTAGATTTCATTTTAAGACAGTTTTCACTTCAATACTTTGCTTATTTAGGTGAAATCACATCTTATTTTGCTTTAAGCTCGCAGTTAAGAGAAATCCTGGCTAGGAAACGTATGCCTTTACCGTGGCTAACCCCTGTATAACTCCATGCTGATGTACAGAGTGCCATAGTTCTAATAAAGCCAAAAGAACAACATGCTCTTCCTTGTGTGTGTGAATCGGCTGAGTGGATCTCTTCTGTAACAGCGAACAAGATGAACGCAGACACATAATGCTGAATTTTACTGACGGGACAGGAGCTCGGTGTAGTCTTTCTCAGAATCAGGAAAAAACACATAGTTCAGTGTGCTTGTCCAGGTCGGGTTTTTCCCTCACTGTTTGAGAGTGGAAATTTTAGCAGTAGTCCCTGGCAGGCTCACAGATCCCTTGGGTGCAGCCTGTATGGACACGCCCTAACAGAAATCGCCCACCGGAGCCCTGCTCTCCTCACCTGCTGCCTGCCTGTTCCTTACTGTGCATTTGTGCATATGGATGCATGACCATACAAGTAGAAAGAGATTTAAAAGTTGTCAAAAAACACAACATTTAAAATAAACCTTGATTGCATATAGTAGGACAAATCAATCCAATCCCTTAGTGATCATTTGTGTCTGAAAACCAAAAAAGTTTTTTTTTAATAGTACTGAATTCCTGACTTATTAAAATTATTGGAAAGCTCACCGGTAGCCAGTGTACCTACCAAAGCACTGGGGTGATGTGAGCAGAGAAATGAGTCACTAGCCTGGCAGAAGCACCCTGACTTCAATTTCTAACAGAATAACAGTCTTGCTGTCTAAAAAATTTTAAAAAATATGTATCGGTGGCCTTATTTAGGCAAACCTCTCTAATGTGAAGCTGTATTTAAATGTTCTAATTAGGTTGTCTGGTTATTCTCAATGAGCCTTGTTACCTGTACAGAGACGGTCTTGAGCAGTTGGTCAGCTTTACACAGTGTCCACACAATGAAGGACAGGAAAGAGCCAGTAGGCAGATTTAGTTGAATAACACAAAAGCCTTTTATTTCTGCATACAAAGTTTGGTTGTTAATTTCATTGGATTTTATAAGATTGCCTCAGCTTTTTGCCTCAGCGCACAGTGCTCCTTCAATAACATTTAAAGGATTTTGTTTCTGTTATTAAGAAATAATTAAGAAATAAATTGGACTGAACAATGAATGTGCTATAGCAGAATGATACCAGCATCATGTTATATTTCAAAAGTTCTATTTATTTATACATATATTTATATATAAAGTGGGTGTGAAGATATATCTGGGAAATGAGGTGGCAACACTGCCAAATATTACTTTTCCATCAGAGAAAACCAAGGCATTTCTAATTCACAAATCACAATTATTTCTCTAAGCATTTTTCTGGCACTCTTGAAAGGCTGCCTAAGCAAAAACAATAATGTATAAATAATATGAAGCCATTGTTTTGTAATATATACTGCAATAAGGCCCAAAGGAGTTCAAAGGCAAACTGTTTTGTTGATTTTTAGTTTCAGCTGCTATTTAAAATAGGTCTTGCATTTTCACTGCTGTAACTAGCTAGCTTTAAGGTTATATTTGTTCAGATGTGCCGGAGTAGGTCCTATCTCTTTTCCAGTGGCTGTTTTTAACCCCCGTACCACTGATCCTCATAATGTAAATCTCTTTTTAGCTCTGCCTTATTGACTATAATCTCTATATTTTAATTGCCACCAGTTTTAACACATCACTTTCCACAAAACAGAAAATGTCCAGGTCAGTAACTTTAGAAGTCTACCTCTACACTGTTTTTTATTAGTTAGACTGGGCCTTTTCTAACATTGCCATTTCACAAATGTGTTAAAACAAATGTCTTAACCATAATCCTAACAGTGGACACAGTGTTTTGGAAAGAGAGGGTTGAGAATATGCAAGGATGTCACATTAAGGAAAAGCATGATGATATTTATTAATACTGCTTTACCAGGCAGGCTATGTTTTCAGTTATGACCATATTGTATATGCTGGTGTGCTGGTCATATGTAGAATCTTCTGAATGACAAAAATATAGTGAATAAATATAATGAATACGGAAACTCAAAATAGGGAATCACACATCAAGTAGCGGAACCTAGCAGACTACTTGTACCAGCCTGTGAAGTAACGTCTGTAACTTGGTGCGGCCCAGTCATTCTCCAATGAATCAGAACCCTTTCACGACCTTTTCAATGCTAACGAACACCAAACAATCCTCTACTCACATGGCAGTGAAATGGATAACTCTACACACTTAGACAATAACTTGTTTTTGGAAGTATGTAGAAACAAAAAAATGAATGGATTAAAGGTTTTTACTTAAAAAAAATTAAAGGATCTCTTGTGTGGCACGTTCTCATGTACTGTTTTCCCCACTGGACGTCTTGAGAAAGAACTGACGGTAGTTTGATCCCAGATCTTTGGGGTTTGCTCCTTTCACGCCAAGAACATGCTTGGTGTGTTTCCAAACTTGCTTTTAAATCAAAAAAGAAACAACATATAGTGGACTGTCTTTCCCATTCCTCGTGAGTAGATTACATTTCAAACAACCTCAATGTTACTGCAAGCACACAAACAACTTGTTGCATAGAAGACACAGGGCCAGGAGCCGAAAAGGCCTCTCTACCGTCTGTGCACACAGCAACACAGAAGAGCTCCAGACAAACACCTGGGTTGGCACCCAGCTCTTTTGCACACGTTAGCAGTTGCCTTTTTTTAAAAACATAGGTAAGTAATTCCGTATTAAAGTGGTGAAAGAATACAACTGTTTACGTGAATGTATACACAGCATTTTAAATTATTGTCTCTAGAACAGTAGAAATGTGGACAAAGCTGCTTGGTATACTGGCAGTTTCCTTTAAAGCTGTATTGTGCTCTTCGGTGTCTCTTGAAGGCTTATGTACTGTAGTTAGTTACCCTTCAGAGAGGAAAGGGGCCCTGGGGATTCTCTGAGACGTCTTCGGTTTCTATTGAAGGCGTGTGTTTTGTCAGTCATTTGGGGCTGAATGTTGACCTCAGAAGCTGAAAGAAAATGAAATCCCAGGAAAAAGCCTCCAGAGAACAGGTAGGAATCCCTGGGGGGGGTTATTGGCAGACACGGCTGTATTCGTGGCACGTGGAACCCACGCCCGCCACAGACAAGTACAGTTTTCCATCTGGGCACACACACACTTCGTAGAGTCCCTGAGAGTTTCCTGGCACTCCTCTCGTCCCCTGAGGTAACTTGGGCAAGCGCACTGTCTCAGCGTCCAGGATCAGCTGTGGAGGAGCAGAGATCAGCGAGAGGTCAGGCCGCAGTATTTATAGGCAGTTGCTACAGCAAGGGTTTTGTCCGTTCCCTGAAGCCTTCCTGCTGCGCGAAAGAGGAAGAGCGGCCGAAGCCGAGTCTACTGAAGACATTCAGAACCGCAGAAACAAAGAGGGATAAAAACCAATACAGAATTATGAAACTGGCTGTTCTTTTACATGCCAAATCAAAATGCTGATGTTGAAAATGTTGAATAAGATATTTCATGCGGGAACAACAGACCTGAAGCTGAGAAGCTCCACGCTGTCACTATATTAACCCACCAACGTCTCCTACACAGCCAGCCAGAGGCTCACCTTTGGCTGATCACTGTCGAGAGACAGCCCTCGTGTTAGACCCCGAATAAAAATGGTGATATCTTGCCGTTGCGATGACAGCTGTAGCTACAGGATGCTCTGGCAGGATTTTGAGGAAAAATGGCATCGTGTCTTACCGTTCCCTCACTCGTGTGGAGCAAGATGTCCATCTGAGACGTGGCCTCTATGTTGCCTGCCAGCGCCTTGATGTGCACTCCTTTTGGGGCGTCCATGCTCAAGGACCGGGTCGGAGACTCCAGTCTGAACTCAACGAGGAAAACAGTACAGGCCTTAAAACTGACCACATCTACCAACTATTCCACCTGGAACAAATCGCTTTGCTTAGGTAGCCTGAGCCTGGATGCCAAGCTAACATCATCACGTTATGTGGAGCAATCTGTCTGGTCACACACATATGCAGCTCTACTTGTGTCAAAAGGCTTGACTGGAGCCCCATCTTTCCTCTGGACGCTCGAGGAGAGCCCACGTTAACTCAACCCATCCAATTTTTTAAGCACACTTTTCTTAATAAGGCTTTGCATCCAAAACACATCCCACCATCTTGCAGGATCATAACCCTGCTATCAGGAATGTGCCTGCAGGTGCTCGTTTGCAAAGTGATTGTCAGGACGGAATTTGCTTGGAGAAAAACACCTGACAGAGAAAGAAAGTTCTGAACATCGCTGGGATGCACAGGGTATACAAGTATGCATGTACAGTTCAGTAAATCACGAGATTTGACATGGCTAAGCAATTTCAGACAAGTTCGTTTCCTACATGTGAGAGCATGCCCTCCTTAACCGAATAACGCTAATAAAAATAACTGTAGTTAAAATTTAGAGCCTAATAACAGAATAAGAAATGAAAGGAACTTTTAAAGAATTATATTATACCAGACTAATGCGGCATTAAGAAACAGTAATGCTCTTGACATTAGAAGTCTACTAGTAATTCAGGCAAATATAATATAATAATATACTGTAGGAAAGAAAAAATATTTAAGTTGGGTTTCTAAGCAAAACATCCACAGGATGAATACCGAAGAAGCAAAAGCACTAATGAATTTATTTTGTTTCCTGGGAATACTTATGAAACAAATCTAGAAAATATTTCCCAGATAAATTATTCCTAGCCGCCTGTTTTGCATATATGCTTTAAAAGAAAAGGCCACAAGATGGCACCATCAGCCTGTTAGAAAATAAAGGAGTTACACTCTTTTGCCTTAATAATAATAATAATAATAATAATAATAATAATAATCATCATCATCATCATAATAATCATAATAATCATAATAATATAACCACTTGTACATAAGATTTATTAATCCCAAATTTTCAAACCATGTGTGTGTTCTATCAGAAATCTAGTGAATCATGCTGCTGTTCATATGGTCCAGAACTGATGAACATAGCATCATGCCCATGAAGATAAAGTCCAAATTAGTAAAAAAACACTGAAATGGCTTTACCACAAAAATGTGGATTTTCAAACAAAACCTTGTAATCTTGGACAGCCTAAATGCATCTTTGTTACAAAATGTTTCTAATTGTCATCACACTAATGCTGCTAACACTGCTCGGTGCTGTTTTCCACTACTGGATGAGTCTCTAGGCAACAAATCCAGCAACATCAGATAGCAGGGGCTCAGCTCCTGATTTCAGAAAGTAATCTATGAAAAAGTGGCTGGTTTTCCATAGTACAACCAATGCAAAAAGAAAAGACGAAAAAAGTTAAATAAAAATAGTAAAAAACGTGATTAAATCTATATTCTGTTGGTACCTCTTACTCACAGACTCTGCTTGAATAGTTTATTCAGCTCTTCACAAGATCAATGGATGACCACTGATCTGGAGAAGACTCTTAAAAGGTTAGGGAACCGCCTTCTGACTCAGGGCTCCGGCGCTTACAGCTGCAGCTGCGATTTGCCTCGCAGAAATCTCATTTCTTCTTCAGTCACTGACTGAGTATAACTCAAATCAACTAAAATATCCATTCATCCATTTTCTAAACCTCTTTATCGGTTCAGGGTCGTGGAAAAGTCACTCTACAGCAGTGAATTAAAATAAAGCACATGCCCTTATAATTTTAAGTGATATGATCTTGAGAAATAATTAAATTCACTCTTTTTTGACAGGAATTGAAACTATTATTGCTTCTGCTCTAAAGCTGTATGTGTCCCAATCGTAAATGATCCGAGAGACATGAAAAGATAAACATTTGACGTTCTGCTGCGATTTGAGATTTACTAGGGATATAAGGGTCTCAACTCACATTTTGCTCTGCATTTCTGTCTCAAAAGCACACACATTGTGTTCATTGCATTAACAAAAAGTAATATCGGGAATATTCGGAATTTTCTTTACATCTGCATGAGAAAGACACTCTGTTGTAGGTTCTTCAAAATAAACAAACAGACCCTCAATGGAATTTGTGAGGATTTACATTAAACACCCTGAAACTGAACCCTGTCAGATGTGTGCTACTGTTTGGTTCCTGTTCATCAGATGACGGTTGCAGGGAGCTGCCTGGTGATGGCAGCAAAACCTCTCTGTAATGCTCTCACTGTTGACAAGTTTTGGAAACAACAGTTTCAACTTCAGGTTGACTTAGTCTAGAATGAATACACAAAGGATAGGCACTCTTGGACAGGGATTAGAGCATTGTTTTTGTTAGGTTTGTTACCATGCTTGGAACAGTGTTGCTTCAAAGTTTGAATGCTTCATGGGAGAATATTACTCTGCACATGAAGGGGGACTGTTTCTAACTCCACTAGGAAAAAAAGTAAAACTATGCCTATACCATTCTTAAAATTGTCTTTCACTTCTGAGTTTATAAGAACTTGGCACGAGATCCTGCAACGAATGAAGAAACTTAACTGTGATATATTTTGCTGATTAACCTCAACACACAAACTGAAACCTCAAAACACACAGACCTCTGGGAGGAGATCTTAAATACTTTAATTCCACAGATACAGATACAAACCAAGCCCTTTCCCAAAGGCACACAGCAGGGGACCTACTTCACCCTGCACTGAATTGCAGCTCCACCTGGGTGATCCACAGCAGCAGGTGGAGAAGTGAGAAATTACTTCAGCACTTGGATTAAAGATAATAAAGCCCAGAGTGGAAGTGAGCCAGAATACCAGGGTTAACATCCCACCTCTCCCAAAAAGCTCCACTTGCTCTTTAACGCGTGAGTAACCAGGACATTTCATCTCCAATAGCACAGTGTCCTGTGTCCCCATACTGGGGAACTGGTCTGGACAGTCCAGTCAGGTCCACCAAGACCGCTTGGAGCAACAGCCTGGGTTTCTCTGGGGCGGAGCGGTGGCTCTGTGGCTAAGGATCTGCGCCTGTGACTGGAAGGTTGCCGGTTCAAATCCTGCGGCCGGCAGAGGAATCCTACTCCGTTGGGCCCCTGAGCAAGGCCCTTAACCCCAACTGCTCCAGGGGCACTGTACAATGGCAGACCCTGCGCTCTGACCCCCAGCTTCTCTCCCTGCCTGTGTGTCTGTGTCTCCATGGAGAAAAAGCTGGGGTATGCGAAAAGACGAATTCCTAATGCAAGAAATTGTATAGGGCTAATAAAGACATATTACATTACATTACATTGAAGGCCTGCCCTCCCAGGAGCCACCAGGCCCAGCTGTGCTCTGCTCCAGGGAACTGACCAGCTCCGGCTGCTCAGGGGCAACAAGCAGCAGGGAGTCAGAGATCAAGGTGGAGAAGGAACTCAGTGGAGCTGAAGGATGAGAGCACCACAGGGAGCTTGAAGGAAAAACCAAACGGCACTCGCTTACGTAGCAGAAAGGATTGACAGAAATGTTTCTACTACATTCCCATAATATTTTCCAGGTTGCGTAGAAGTTAATGAAAACCTTTTGTGCGTTTCTGTACCGTGGTTCTAAAGCTGTAGAGAGAGTACTTTTCCACCAAAAAGGAGGTTTAACTGTGCCGCAGCTAGAAACTTATAGCAGTTGCAGTATGTTTTTCTGCAGCACTACTTATGAGTGCAATTATCTCAAAGGACGAGAACTCTGTGTAAAACTGTAGGAAGAGATCTGGGATCCATAATCATAAGTAGAACAAACGAGTACCTTCTCAGAAGTGGATTAATTAATCACAATCCTGCAGACAATGCACGGGTAACTAATGTAGCCTGTTTCCATTAATACTATTTTCCATATCTAAAATATATCCAAAGGTGCAAAACATAAATATATATCCATCCAAGACCAACCCTGGCTGAGACAAAAGAAGTTATCAATTATGTGCCTGTGTAATTTATTAACTACTTGTAATCAGTGACTTTTCCTTTTCATGGACACAAGGAGAGGTTTATCAAATACTGTGCTTCTCGCCTGAAATGTTAAACCCTCCGTATAGTTTTCTTCTTCTGACATGTTTCTTCCAGACCTTTTGTTTTTATGTTGACACGTCATACCAGCGAACAAAATGGTTAGGCTATCAGCCAAAAGTGTAGAATTGACATCAAGGGATGTGGAAAAAATTGGATTAAACACTAGTAAGGCTGCATTTGGTATAATGTGTACAATTGTGGGCACCACGTTATAGAAATACACTGCTGCTCTGGAATCAGTCCAGACAAGAGCAGCCGGATATCTTCTGAGGCTTAAAGGAATGTGCTGCACTGACAGACTGAAGGACCGAACCTTTTTAATCTGATTCAGGTACTTACAAACTTAAGAGGTGCTGACAAAGTTAACCCAGCGGGTTTCTTCAGAATGAACAATGAAACACGAAACACAGGGTGTTATTGGGAACTACTTCGAAATGAAGTGCTTCTTAACTCAAAGGGCTGTGTGGGCATGTGGGAGTATTGTAGCCAACACTGTTTCCTTAGAAACATTTGATCAATAAGCTACAGTACTAACTACCTAACAGGCCAACATTCATTTTGTTGTAGATGATGATAAAACTGAAAGCAGAAAAGTAATACGACTAATAATGAACCCCCAAAAATCATTGTGAAGGCCTGGGAAACACAGCCATCCTCATTTGTAAAGTTGTAGAAATGTAATAGATAAGATCTAGTTGAAAGCAAAGAACACACTGATGATTTGAAATTAATTTTCAAACCTTAATGCTCTGTTTAACATACAATTGCATTACAAGTCATCTTTTCTAAATTTATGCTTTTTTGTTGACTGCCAATAATCCAATTCATGCCTGAATTATTGTCATCGGAATCACAAAGGGAGATTAAGCAGACCCCCAGGCTGTGCACCTTTTCAGTGGAACAGGGAGGGGCAGAATGAGGAAACAGGAGGAAAACGGTGCTTCTGCAGAAGACGTTCAGCTGGGATCTCGCCCAGAGAGCTCTAGGCCCTCCTGCCTGTGGTTTAGCATCTTCCCTGGGGGTATTTTCAGAAACATGAGCAGACAGTGAAGGTCTGATACGGCTATGGACACGATCAGGGATGTTCGGCGTGCAGCATCACCGCTTCAGAGAACACGTCAGGGCTATGAAGATTAAAGATCTCTCCAAGCCCATTGTTTCTCATTTCACCTCTGACGGCCACGACCACACTAATCTCTCCGTCTGTGTTCTCAAAGACGGTTTTCCGAACTCATACATCAGAAAGACCACCGAAACTAAAATTATTCTGCAGTTAGGATCACACATTCTCCCTTCCCTTAACGACAGATTACTGTTCTTTTAAATTTTCTCCATTCATTGGAAGTTTCATTTCACACCTCTCTGCACCCATTCTGACTTCACACCTCTTGATTGGCCTTTCTTTCTGTCCCCTGCTCCCACCTCTCACTCCTCCCTCCCAACCTTTGTTCTCCTGCTACTTCACCTTTGCCTACTGCCCTGTCTCTCTCACACCTGAAGAAGGCTCCACGGCCGAAACGTTGTGTTCTCTTTCTTCTCTTTTCAGCATGGAATAAACCTATTACTTGTTTCTTTGCAGCCTGCGCATGCTGACGCAGCTGCCCACCTGAACTACTATCTCTAATTCACTTCCTGCCTGGCTGTCTGCTCGCGCCATCTCGCCGCGGTCTCTGCGCCCTGCCTGCGCTGGAGCACGGGGCTCGACGTACTCACCTCAGGTCCTTAAAAGCCTGAGCCTTGACTAGCGGAGTCTCCACCGAGTGTTCGAAGAGAGCGCCTTCTGGACCTAAAGAAACGGAAAAGGCTTTAGGTTGTATTGTGTATGGATCAGGCAACCACCCCACAGCTGGACTTCCCTGGGCTTCAGGGAGGGTTTCGGACTGGTAAGATTCTGGCATTGCAGGTTGCAGAGAACAGTGTCACCTGGGGATTTTTTTTATTGGGAACATAGTACAACAAGCAAATAATAAGTGGAAACCCAATGATAGCGAGATGCATAAGAGAATTATAATCTACCTTTGCCAAAATGGATAATTGTTAAGATTACTGTACACCACTGTACCCTACTGTGAGCACACTATACTGTTGTGTACTATTGTACACTACTGTGAGTGCTGATACATCTGGAACAAAGCATAACAAATTATAGCTGCCAAGCAAGCATGAGAATAGAAACATTTGCCTCCAACATGGCTCAGGGGGCCTTTGAGAGTTCAGAATGGCAAACCTGTCTCCCTTTACCTGCATTCCAGTTCCCCATCCTCGGCTCGGAGTTACTCCCCTAAAAAAAGCTCCCATTCCACAGCGTCTACTGGCCTTGAGTGCCTCTTGCCCCTGAGTCCAGACTGACAAAATTAATATTTATTGCAATGAGCTCTGTCCCCAGTTTTGGCCATCAATGCTCTCTCTGTCTGATCATGGCTTCTTTATAGCCCGCCTTTCCTAACTTAGGCCTTTGTCGAGTCCAGTAACGCACAGCGCTGCTTGTCCGCTGGCTCTGGACAGAGGCCGCACGTTCCTCTCCCTGCATCACAAACTCGCCTCCCGCTACTAATCTGTCGCTTGGAATGGAAATAAATCTTGCAGCTCTCATGACAGCTTAAGGGAGCATGTTGTGTTGTGTTGTGTTGTGTTGTGATTGTTCCGCTCTTTGGTTGTGTGATCTCAGAGATTTAAAAACACATTTAAATATTATTGCACTAGTCTTGTGCACATAGCAAAAAAAACTACTTAAAATATCTTGAGCTAGAGAGCACTCTATTTCTTCAACATGCTTTCTGGTTGTGAGTAAATTCTCCAATCTCTGGGTAAGTGCCAAACAGGCAGCTCACAGTCCATCCTATCTTTAGGATGTTTGAAGGAGCATTAATGCCTTAATAACACTGGGATGAGTCCTTAAGCCTGGTAGAGCGAGATGGCAATGTTACAGATTCCACACACAATGGAGTGCACTTCTCAAAGGGTGAAATGTTATTCATGAAGCCTTACAGCAGATGCATACAGAAGTGATTGAGACATTTCCAGTTATTACCTCAGTCAGACTTTCAGGAAACTGCAGCGGCTTTGACTGGAGATGAGCAAAATCTCAAAGGCATGAACCTGTTTTACTCTGTTACTTATGATCTACACCAGCTTGAATACGGCTTGCATTTCAAAACGTCTCGCAAAAATGGAGCCCTGCATTATAAAAGCTGGAAATCAAAGCTGGAAGTTTCAAATGGCCCATGGCTGGTTTATTTCATTACATTTAATTTCTATGATGTAAAAACAGAGGAAGATCAGCTGCTCACTAATCTGTTCTCTTCGAGTTATTGTTTTCTAAAAACACCTAAATCATGGTGAGACATTTGAGAAGTTTCCACAGTGTTGTGGAAACGAAGAGGGCCTTTGTACATTAGCGATGACCCAGACTGCCCTCAGCAGCAGGAAGCACCCCCTGCTGCAGCTATTAGAAGAAGCTCTTAGCAAAATCACCCTCATTAGCAGAACGGCTAGCGGCTCAGAAGCCCAACACGCTCACTCTTCAAGTGTTCAAGCTCACGACGTTCGCTCCTGAAAAATCTTCAATTACAACTGACCTAAAAAAGCCAGCAGAAGACTTCAGGGAGATGATGGGAGAATAGGGTCGCTTTAAAAAAACCAAGTGAACATCTCTGGATGCTCAGTAGCTTAATGGCCCACTGCTGTTTCCAGCTCTTTGAGTTAATGAGCGGGAGGGAAGAAGCAAACAGGCCATCTAACTGCAGGCGCTGATTCCGCTTGGCGAAGCCACTAGCACAGAACAGAACAAGAGCTCGGAGCCCATGACTACAAACAGTGTTGTGCCCCCACAACAGAGAGAGGCATAAGAGAAATATAATCTACCTTTGCCAAAATGGATCATTTTTGTACACCGTTACGATTACTGTACACCACTGTACCCTACTGTGAGTACACTACACTGTTATGTACTTGTGTCCCACAAGGGGATGGGCCTGATGATGGACATGTAGAGTACGCGCACCGGCACATCGGCGTGTGGCGAAAAGTACCTGTCACGCGGAGCTTGTCTGTCCCCACCACCACTTCCTTCTCGTCCGCGGAGAAGAGCATCTTGCCACTGGCGGAGCTAATCTCGAAATGCTGTCCTTGAGCTTCCACCATCTGCGGACCTGCAAGAAGCAACCAAAAAGACAGGAGGAACTATGAGAGCAACCAACAGGAAACTGTTATACTGAGAAAACTCTTTTGAGGAGTATTAGCTTTTCAAACTTTGATGTCAATCATCAAGAAAATTGCTTTTCTTATGCAATTGTATCGTCGTTTTTTTGCACTTCTTACCGTCTGAGAGCTAGCTAAATAGCATTTCGTTATACCATATACCTGTGTATGAGTATAATGACAATAAACTTGAACTTGACTTGACTTGATCAGGACATAATTGCCTAGGAAGAAAGCTGAGACAGACTTCTCCTGATGCAGCTCTCAGTTTTAGTTTATTTTTCATTAATTAGATGTATTGCTTTCAGCCAGTTTGGGTTAAATATTTTCTTGCCATTTGTATCACTCAGTAACATTTCAGAGACACAGTGAAGCATTCTCTGACTAAATCCCACTTTGCATGCCTTATTTTGCTATATGCAAAGACAGGGCAGAGATATACTGCTACTAGTCAGCATGATTTTATCATGAAATACTCTGACAAATGCGCCTTAACTCTCAGCTTCATTTATGTCCTATTACTATCGTCATTATGTCGTATTAGTTGAATTTTTACAACTTTACTGTTAACTTTGATATTTCTGATGATTCACAGTGGTCCCTCAAAAAAACTTTCATTATCATACCATACATATCAGATTTTTGGTTCTCTCTTTCTTTGCCTTTTCTGTTTTAAAAGTTTAAGATTTAGAGGTATTTTTTTCACCCAGACATTTTATCCTCACAAATATGCAGCAAGCAAGTCGCCGAAACCTCTTCTGAAGGTGACATTGACATTCACAGGCATTTAATACTCTTGAAAACATAAAACAAGCAGCCAAGTACCTCCATCAGATTATGTCTCTGGCGCAGGCTAGTAAAATAAAAATGTATCAAAGTGCTGCGCTCCCTTAAGTGCTTTCTAAAGAGGAAAATAAACAGGCCTTATGTCTGCTCGTGAAGGCATGAAAACAGCCCAGCTCCACACCTCCCGCGTACAGCACAGCAGGGGCAGGTCAGAGCCGGTCAGAGGCCGGCTTGGGGAAACGGACACGAAGGATCGCTCACGAAGGCCTTCCAGGTATGCAGTAGATGTTATCACTCGGATAAGACAGCCGGGCGGACAGGAACTCTCTTTCACGGGCAGCGTGCTGCTCTAACGGAGACTGCATTCACTTCCATGAAAAACCACAACCCAGTTCAGGCGAAATCAACATTCCAGCTCCTGCACCCAAGACGCAAGGCATTACGAATCCGATGACCCTTTAAATCGAGAAGCAGTCTGACCTCTCAGCTGGTCAACAGCAGCGGCCATGCGGTCTCTTAATTATCTAATTGAAGAGGAATTTGCTATCCTTATATATTACGGAATGACTATGTGTTCAGAAGGAACATTTAGGATTTGGCCCTGTAACTATCAATTTAGAATCCAGGAATAAAGAAAACTGCAACGTAATTCTTTACGGTTTAACAATTCTTTATGTTCTTCTTTAGCTCAGTGTGCAATCTGCTTATCTGCAGCTTTTTTTACAAATTCATTCCAAACTGATATAAAATGTTGTTCATCCCTAGGGATCGGTTAGGTAGTGTACAGTAAATTTTTCATAAAAATATGCATTAAAAACATTGCATTTCTGACCACTTAGATCAACGCTTTGAGCTTTAAGGGGTGTGAATGTCACCACACTGCTGTAATTTATTTGGCGTCCCTAAATTCTAAACTTACAACATTTAACTGCCTACTTCACTAACTGCCACTAGAACAGTAGACGCATACATCATTTGTACATTACCATTTGAAAAGGACTCTTATTAATTTAATGGACCAGAAATTTATAGTCAGTGAAATCGGTTTAATACTTTTATGGTTGTGTCATTCTGGTGTGAGTCAAGCAAAACCGAGAATAAGACTTGAAGACTTTTGAATTTCATTTTACCTCAACAGAACCAAAATAATTTCTTGCAATGATATAACGCTTTTCATCCCAGAGAATCCGAAAGTGTTTAAGGTAATCACCGAAGTGCAGCTCTGCCGGGGTGACGCACAGCAGCCCCGCTGCACTGCAGGTCAGGGGGAGGAGAGGGAATTACTCCACCAGCTGCATTATGGCTCACCTTTAGTGGGGCCAGTTTATGCAAGCCCAGAGTGGAGCTCAGCCAGGACACTGGGGACAACACACCTGCTCTTCTGAACAGTGCACTGGCATCTTCAAAGACCAAGTAGTCAGGATTGCAGTATAATGTCACCTGCCACAGGACGGTGTCCCCAATCTCCACAATAGGGCACTGGAGTGAAAATACTGGACCAAAGAAAAGAGCCCCACCTCCTGCTCCACCAACACCACTTACAGCAGCAAACTGGTTTTCCTTGCACATCTCTCTTACCAGTACAGTACCCATCCGCGCTTAGCTTCTGAAGATTATCTCAAGATTCCACGTACAAGGCTTGGTTTAGAAACTGTTTTATGTGTTTGACTAGCAGCGAAGGAAACTTCACTTTTCCATGCAGTAAGTAAACATTAATATAATACTACAATATCTCTGCTAACCTCACTGATATCCTCTTACTGTTTCATTGAGAGTCTGCAGTTTTAAAAGCACAGGTACTGCACTGAGCTCTATTGTGTTTTTTTGCTCCACATCCTAAAACAGCCTCTCAGCAGGGTCCCTGCGCAGTCCCACTGCACAGCAGCCCCAGACGCAGCTAGGTGTTTAAATTCAGTCTTCTCTGATGAAATGAAATGCTGAAAAGTGGACCTGTGACCGTCCCAGAAACACTGCTGTGGAATTTTACTGTTCACAGCAAGAGAACATGTTCTGAAGAACTACACGTTTCACTCTTTGGATGATGTAACAGGCATGCCGGGTTCTTCCAGGGCAGGAAATATCCACAATTCTTCTTCGTGACAAACCAAAAATGAGGCATAACTGTGTTCCCACAAGCATTTCCTCCTTGCCTAGCACAGCTTTATTTGCTGTAAAGTATCATTGGTGATTGCAAAACCCTTCGATGTCTGTAATTGATGGCTGACACTAACCAGGTCAGCAGTGAGGCTGAAAAACTCTTTATCATGAAGGGATGGTCTAAAAAGAAAGCAGAACAGTTCCTGTAGAAGCCCCCTTGTGGACCTACAGACACAGCGCCTTAAATCATGTTTTAAAAAGAAGTGTGGAAAAAAAAACGATCATCTACAACCTCCATGAATACAAAACAAGTTTAATGGCCACGCTCAGAGCTGTCAGTAGATTTTAAACATCCTTCCCTGAAAACCAAAAATGTCATGCAGAGTTTCTAAAGGGAAGAGAATTTAACACTACAGGCACAAGTGCTTCATATACTTTTATGAATGAGCTATCAAATGCCACCTGACTTGATTCAACTAAACGATTCATGCCATCAGATTATGGCAGTTTTATATGACCTAAAATGAAATGTCCCCTAATTGTCTTTCTGAAGATCGTTAATGCTTTCTCTCTTACTCAGAGTCAAAGGGGCACGTGGAGGAGGTGAGAACCTTCCAAAACCTGTACTGACGTGGAAATATGATAATCTCTAAAATAATTAAATTAGTTTTGCAATTTGTCTTCACCTAATTACTTTGATATTACATTATTTTCCAGACCTAGCTGGACGCATATTAAAGACGTGCAAATAATAGTCTCTGTCAGCTTTGGGGTCAGCTTTGCAGAAATAAATATCAGCTCCTCATCATGGAGATGAAAAGGAAGATATTTGGTTAAATTAAGTTTTAATGGAAATCTTCGAGGACAAATGAAAGAGGGGAAGCTAATGGGCTTTATGAAGTTATTAATTAAGTTTGGTTTATGAAATTGGCTGCAGGGTCTGACTGTGAAGGACATTATTGAGCCCCTCTCAAACAAGCAGCAATGCTTCATTAACGCTGAGCTCTGCCTATTATAACTTTAATAGACAAATCCCCATTGCTTCCAAGCACAACAATACCAGTGCAAAAAATGCAATCTGGGTCTATCAAGGTACAAGAAAAATATGCAGTCAGCCTTGGCAGTGATGCAGTTCAATCAATTCAAGCTTAACCTTTTCCTCTTGGAAAATGCCAATAAAAACACAGGCTCTTGCTTTGTATATTTAGTGTCTGTTTGCAGTTGAATATCGAAAGCCAGGACTCAAATCCTCTGGCTATGCGGTGAAATCACTTTCGGATACCTTTTTCATAGACAGTTTTATAGCTCTAGGCAAAATCCTCAGTATGTGGTGTATGTAAATCACACCTCCTCAACCCCTAAAGAGGATAAAAACCACATTTCCTTGTTATCTGTTCTAACAACAGACAGAGGGGCTTTGTCACTATGTTTTTGATTTCTCACTAATGAAACTCACCAGGTCCTAGATGATAATCCTAAAAATATAAACACAATTTCCAAGTGTATTTACACAGTAGATTTGTAACATTTGCTACTTGTTTGCTACACGACGAATTCTCTGAGGTATGGGGAGATCCTCTGACCGAGGATACTATGACCTGGGTTGAACAAAAACTGCTGGCAGATGATTCTCAGCAACCCAGCATTTCACACAAGCTTCACTTGGCTAAAAAATAGATAAGACCCACTTTACAGTAAAGTTTTACGTGAAACTATTAGAAACAGGACTAATATCACCCGTTAAACAGAATTAAAAGCAAGTGCAGAAAGGCAAGTATTAAGACAGCATATGAAAGTGTCTGACTGCCTTGCAAGAACCGATATGGGCTGGGAGATCATTCGACAGCCTTGGAGCAACAGCATATAAAGCTGGGATCTCCCTGGGCTTCCCAGGATGTGGAGGCTGGATACGGGACACGAAGGAAGACAAGAGTCCGTAGATCACAGACGCGCAGGTGTTTGGGGAGGAACAGGGATTCAATGAAGCAAAAACAGAGCGATATGCTCGTGCATTTTAGATACCCTTAAGATCTGAGCCGCTGAGCTCTGAAGACACCGGGACTTGTTAAGACCACATTTGGATATATCAGTAAGCACTGCACTGCAATGAACAAGCCTGGAAAAGATAAACGCATGTTTTAGGACAGACACGAATGGACACAGCGTTGTGAAGATGGAAAAAGACACAATGACAAAAAAAAAGACAACAGTGGAACATGAGCTTCAGATGCACGATTTAATCAGAGATGGTTCTGAGGTTCTTGACACCCGCACCTGGACTAATTCCATTGCTAACAGTCTTTTCCATAAGGAACTTCCTAGTGAAACTAAAGTTCACACGGTTGTGGAATTTATAAGGACGGTCAATCAGCATAACTCTGGTCTTGACAGAGTTCAGATGTAAAAAAATGTTTCATCCATTATTTAACAAAATCTAAGCCGTGTGACAAGGTGACAATTAGTCACTATGTGATGCAATTTGGGTGTTACTAATCAATATGATACTGTATTTATGAAGAATCTGACCCAATGGTAACATATAGATATACTGTATGAAAAAAGACTAGGACCAAGAACAGAGCCCTGTGGGATCCCAGAAGTGATAGAGTTTGGTGAGAAGGAGCAATGAACCATTTGAATAAGTCGAGAGATGACTTAAACCGTCACAGAGCGGTTCCATTAAAACCAACAGCCATTCCTAATCTATTCAGAACAAAGTTATGGATCAACTGTATCAAGGGTAGCACTGAAATCCAGAAGGACACAGGCGAACAAAAAATGATCGGCATTCATCAGCAGATCATTAGAACCTGTAATAACAGCTGTTTCTGTAGTATGCATCAATCTGAATCCCAATTAAAACCCTTCATACAGATTCTCAGTAGATCACTGAAATCACTGAAAACAAGCCGTTACAGAACCTTTGCCAAAACTGTTAGACAATGGTTGATAATTAGTGAGTAGCTTGGAGTTGAGTTTCCACTCTGTCACAGAAGGATAGTAGCTGAAGTTTTAGGGTACAATTTCAGATGACAGTGATTCATTGAAGGTACGCCTGTCATGAGGTCACATAACTGCAAAAGTTAAAGAAAACAGTGGAAACAGGATCCAGGGAACACGTGAGCTCGGCTGGAGACTCTGCGAAGTGAGATGCACTAACATTGAAAGTATATGAACTGTGCTTGGAAGTGGAATCTGATTTCTGATGTTATCAATTTCAGTGTGAGAGAACTCGGAAAACGTATTGCATGAAAACTGTAGACTCGCTAGGAGTGATATCTGTAAGTGGGTTTAGAGATGATGCATTATGGAAACAAGGGTTATAGGATTACGTCTCCCTTCTTCGATTAGCTTCCCAAAAAGCGCTGATCTAGCAGTAGCCAGTGCATTACGGTAGGATAGCTGGTGTTGCTTTAAGGCAAGTAAATGAGCAGACAGGTCTGCATCCATCCATCTGTGTTCAAAATAATACACATGAGATGTCATGGAGAGGCGCTGGCTGTCACAGCGGGGAAGGATGTGGAAATAACACTTCCGAAAGATTTTTCAGTAGTTGAACAATCCGAAATGCCACCAAGTGTGGAATTCTGAAGCACAATGGAGTCCTCAAGTCTCGCTGGCTAAGGGCAACTGACAGGAGAACTGGAAATCATTTGGATATATAAATCTAAATTAACAGACCTGCTGTTGCAAAACTTAATAGTATTGCGTAGAAACTGAAAGGAGATACTGGAGCAAATCAATTGTTAAAAAAAACAGAACCAAACAAATGACTGGATGATCTGAAATAAGATAAGATCACTTTATTAGCCATATACAATTTCTTGCATTAGGAATTTGTCTTTTCACATACCCCAGCTTGCTCTCCATGAGACACACAGACGGGGAGAGAGAAGCTTGGAGTCAGAGTGCAGGGTCAGCCATTTATAAGGCACCCCTGGAGCAGTTGGGGTTAAGGGCCTTGCTCAGGGAACCAATGGAGTAGGATTCCTCTGTCGGCCGCGGGATTTGAACAGGCAACCTTCCAGACACAGCCACAGATCCTGAGCCACAGAGCTACCGCTCCGCCCATAGATTCAAGAAACACAACTGCCCAAACAAGGACTTGAACCCTGGACCCTCAAACTAAAAGTGCTCTACCAATTGAGCTATCCAGGCTCTGACATGCCCAACTCAAGGTGGTACAGGTCACTAAGAGTCTAAGCACAGGTGATAACAAGATCCAGTGTCTTCAGAGGTGTGATCAGTGGGCACATTCATGTGTTAAGTAAAGTAAAGCCAAAACAATCAAGGACAGCACATGTTCTGCTGAGAGTCATTACAAATAATATTTTAATTGTCTTAAAATTCAAAATCCTTATAGAATCGTGCAACAGGGATGACAAAATAGCTGAAAACTCTTAACAATAATTCTGCCTTGGAGTCCTACATACAAGTGCAATTGCTAGAGGCAAGACAGACGCTGTCTTCGGTGGCATGAAGTCAGGGTGATGTGGTGTCAGTGTACGAGGGCCTGTCTACCTGGGGCCGGATTCATGGGGTCTCACTAAACAGAGTTCCCAGGGGCAGGAACCTGCATCTAGCCTCATGTCACCACAGGGAAACACCCCACTCTTGATTCAGTGATGCCACTGAAATCTAAAGCAGTTTGTGGCCCTAAAAACAGTCACTCAGCTGTCACACCCAGCACTGTGCAATAGTGTCTGCTGTATCACTGTACCCGATACTGACTCACCTGGAGATGAGAGTCAAAGTCTCCAATCGCCTGGCATCCCTGTTATATTCTCTGAATGTGGTTAATCAGATCATTACTCCTCATGGGCAGCTTGTAGGCTTTCCTAATAAATTTGGATGTCTGTGAAATAATCTTGATACTCCCACTTCATAAAACAAAAAACAATTATCATCCCCCCTGAGAATCAGTGTATTAAAAACAGCATATTAGTCAATTTAATGCTGCTGTTCTCAACACTTTGATAAAGGTGTACATTAATTATTAATAAGAGTTTAATTTCAAGCAAAATAAGTTGAGGCCTTATGAATTATGATGAGCATGTGTGGTCCTAATTAACTAATGATCAATAATCCATTAACCTCTATCAGTTTCTTGAGAGCAAAAGCTACATTTTGTGTTTCTGTCATCTATCCATTCCATAAAATTGGACTGATTTTTATCCATGCTGTGTACTGGAGAACTGTTCTGAAGCATAGAAATTTAATGGAATCTATTACTGTCCATGGCATCAGCTCAGCAGTCTGTGTGATAACAGATCTGTACCCACAAAGTGTAAATTATTGATTTTTTGCAAACATGACCTGATGGATTTCTTTAAGCAAAATACAACTCCTTTCACAAAGTTCTACCTTAGGACATGATTAAAAATCTAGAGTACTGCGTGCGATATGGTAATACACACCTCTTAGGAGAAAATTGACAAGGTTGAATGAAGTTAACAGGCTGAGACTACAAGGAATATTGCAAAACAAAAGGCTACATGATTCAATCTCAAATAAAGTTTTAATCTACCATCTTTTACTGTATTACATTTACAAAGTTGTGTTCTAAAATAAACTTGTTATGTTGCTACTTTGTTATTATTTTCTGCATTGTTCCAAAATAGCCTTAATTGTGTCCAACAGTACAGCACTTCTCAATAGCTTCTTGAACTGTGAGGGGTAACTTTCTTCCGAGTTTCACACAGTAGTATCCCTCAGCAGGTCTCATCAAGCTCCCGTATCTTGTCTTTAAAATGGATCTTTGGGGAGCACAGGGAGGGAAATGTTACGGGGCGACAGAAGAGCCCTCCTTCTCAACCACAGTGAAGCACGATCTCCTGCATTTCAGACGGACAGCATCGACACCCAGCTCAGCAGCCGAGCTCTTGAGAATGACGTCAGCGTGACAAAGCCACTGAAGAGTGCAGCTTGTGTCTGCGCTTTTGTTTGTCCCATTTTTGCCAATATTTGGTGAAAACATCTTTCAGAGAGACCTTTTTTGGACCTTGTTGCTTGGGAAACAGAACAATAACAAATATCTAATCTGCTTTTCTTGCTCTCGAAGCATTAGAAAATGCTAGCAAAAGAGCAAAACTGTCCAAAACATTTATTCTTTTGATAGTGGAACGTATAAAATGGTTTTAGAACCAGAAAGTGCAGTGTTATGATTTTGTCAGAAGAAAACAAGTTCTTACCTACTGTTAATCTTCCTGTCACATCCCCATCTTGGTTTCGGGCATTGACTGTGACGTTCTGAGAGGAGTGAAGAAGCAGGGAAGACTCCTGGAGAACAAAATGACCGGATTAATTCAAGACCTCCTACAATTTTTAGAAAAGTGGCAGCTCTAATACAAAGGTCAAAAGTTCAGTAATGCATTTTCCCTTATTGCAGAAAACTTCATGTTGTTTAAAAGCCATTATGGGCGAACTAGCTTATGAAAAGCTCAGAAAAAGTCAGCTCATGTCTGAATGAGTGTGACAGCTGGCAGTTCAGTGGTTGGGAGAGAGAGCTGGAGACCATGATACTCCCAATACCTGGAGAGTTCACACCAGAAATTGTGGAGCAGGACATAAGGTATCAGAACTGATGTGTTTCAAGCAGCTCTGTTTCAATTTAAGAATCTAATTGATAGGAGCAGCTCTTGAAATCTTTTCTACCAAATATATCAAGCACTGCTGTGAGCCTTGTGACTCCACACAGACTCACTGATGACCAAGGCCCATTAATGGGTGATGGGTCCAATAGAGGATATGAAGACCAGAATCAACTTACTGGCACTTGATACCATGTATAATATGAACTTGTATGTAACAGAAGCATTTTGCTGTTAAGAGCTGTATTATATTGCTCTATTACCTTGTTTCAAGTTTTTTGCTCCTTTATTTAAACAGATATGTCAACAGTAAAACAAGGACCTGGAGACCCATTTATATAGCAAGACACTTCCTGGAGCAATGTGACTGCAGCATCTTATTCAGGGATACAGCAGCACTGTGCCCCAGGGGATGTGAACCCGTGACCCTCTGGCCATGCTTAGAAAAGCAAACTTAAGCACTCAGCATGCTTTTTGCTGTTTTTGTTTCTAACCAGATAAAATCCATCTTTCTTATGTGTCATAAACTGCTCTTCCTTGCAAAAGCCTTGATATAGCCACTTCAGCAGGAATGATATATTTCCGAAACATTCCTGCTGCAGTTCCCATTCCATTAACAGGTGCTCAATCCTGTATCTTTGGTTTTCCTCTTTGGGATTGGTTTTTAAAACCGTTCAATGGGAAGCTCAGGTAGTATCACGACTCCTGCAAGCTTGGTCATTTAGAATTTCCTTTATTGCCCACTAGAACTGCCCATGTTCCAGCCGATAAAACACAGACAGCAAAGCTCCGCTCATGATACTTGTGCAAATGCATGTTTGCGGGCATATAAATCATGAACCCAGAATCCCAGGTGGTTCTCAACGAACGTCTCTATTCGTAGTTTTGCTCCAGATATCGATTTACAAACCATTTACGACAATGCACCATAACTCATTTAAAGAACACAAGATCTTAATAATAAAGTGAAACAGAGTATCTAATAGCGCCCCAAAGGTATTTATTAGAGCAGATTAGATAGTGGTGCTGGAAATCAAATCTCAAGCCTCAGCTAGTACACTTTGTATGTAGTCCTTCATTAATAGTTCAGCTTTTCACAGCTGACATTTAATCTTTGAACAGAGGCTGACGCGAGTTCCTGCTGCTTTCTAATTACAGGGAAAAGTGCCCAAAGCATGGAACAGATTTGTAAAGCTCTTTTTCAGAGATCGTTTGAAAGGTTAAGTGTTGCCTCTTAGCGATTCCAGCAAAATGAGCACTTCATAATTAACATGCTTTTTTTTTTTTACATACACTAAAATATTTCTTCATTTTTAGAATGAGTTGCTAAGCAATTCTAATTGGAAACGGTACGTGTGAACTTTCAGATTCTTAGGTTGCAGAAAAAAAAGATTTGCTTTGAATAATAAAAGAGCATAATAGAGCTTTTTGCTATACAATACATGCAAGGAAAGGGTATAATATAAATGGAGTGGTTAGGGCAGCCACAGTCCAGCAGGTTTAACTGGTCACCTCCAATCAGTAATTTCTAAACACTAGGGGCCATTTCATTTTGATCACTTAAGCAAGTGATTTATGTAATTAAGCAGTTTCAGGGTCATTTAAAATGAATATCCCAACTCCCTGTAGCTCTCAAGGATCACAGTAGGCCATTCCCGACTGAATCCAGCTCTTTTTTGTGATTGATCTGCTTGACTATTGGTTTGCTTGTGTCTGCATCCAGTCTCCCTCCCTTCAAGGGTACTGGTTCCTACAGCTTCGGCACGAGCACGAAGGCTCCTCGGCTTACTGACCGTTCTTCTGGACTAAGCAGCTCTTAATGTGTGATCAATGTCTGAACAAATGGCACAGGTGGCAGAAACAAGAGACCTTCCTTCTACAAAAGCCCAGTCGGGTATTTTCCAGGCAGCACACCTGAATAAAGTCAGTTCTGAAAGGCAGGAACTGGCGCAGGATGACAACAATTACAAATCCAACTTGACCCTTTTTAAAAGTTGAAAGCAATTTAAAAAATATGCGGTGTTCGTAGCTCTTGCCGTACAGTAACTTTAAAGTACTTATTTTTTACATTGTTAATTTTTGTAAGTTTCTTCAAGTTTCATTTTTGTTTTTCAATCACATCCTCATCAAACTGTATATCAGATTTGAGAGAGGAGATCAGAAGTCACCTGATCCATGCGTTTCATCAGAAGTGCTTCGGAGTGTTTAAGCTCCGTACCCCGAGCGATGATTCATTTCCCAGAGTAGAACTAGGAAAATGTAACTAGTCTTAACTAGAAAGTTGTGGGTTCATATCCCAAAACAGGTCAGACACTGCTATTGTACACTTGAGCCAGTCACTTCACTAGAAATATTCTGGCAAAATATCCAGCTGTATAAATGTGTGTAAATGTAATTTGTTTTAGTTAAAAGCATCAGCCAAATACATTTGTAGTAATTACCATGAGTAGTAGTGTTTGGGACAGTGGAAACACTCTGACTGGGCTAATCTGCATACAGTCTCACAACCGGACTCACCTCTTTATTATACCCAGAGTGCCAACAAAACCTGATTCCCTTAGTGAATGAAATAAGCAGTATCACCAGATTATCTCTATCATCTCTATCTCTATCTTCTGGACTCTATGCACTAGTTGCTGGGCCATTTGACTGTTACTTCAGGGGTAAAATGTATGTAAATTAACTCAACAAGCTTGCATAAGGTGTGAAGCAAAACTGGAAAATAAATCAAGAGCACACTTGAGTACGCGGAGCCTGTGTGTTATAACATTATCTAGGGTGAGCAATCATTCACAGGATCTCAGCTGCACTGGAATCTATTCAAGCAACCTTCAAAGCAGCACATCCTGCACCTCATTCTATAAGGCAAAATGCCTTGCTCTCAAGGACGGGGCCGGAATGAACATGAAATGCATTAGGAAATTACTTGTCAGAGACAAAAATAAAGACTTTCTTCTGGTTCAACTACTAGGAACCTCTGCAAACCTGCAAAAAAATCAGGTTTGTAAAAGGACAACAAGGGTATTCATATAGACTTTCTAAATAATTTGAAAGCATTAAAAAATTCTTATGCTAATGCAAAAAGGCAATTTCTGAATAAACAGACAGAGAATCTTCATGATGACATTGAGAATCTGCCCTTAAGAAACTATTTTCTGACTAAAGGGAATGCATGTTGTCAGCTCCTACCAGTGTGTCTGACAAAAACAGCAACATAAATAAAATTGAAAGTACAACACTTAAGACTGTAGCCTGGTAACACATCATAGCCAGTTCTCAAGCAATGGAGAAAAACACTGTGGGGCAGCAACTGCCAGACACAGATTGTAGAAATGCTAAGAGTTTCAACAAAACTATTGTGGATTATCTGCTTCTTCACAAAGAAGCTTCTCTCTCTCTGCTGCTCTTGCAACACTTTAACAAGAATGCGTTTCAGACAGAAATGGTTTACAAGTTAGATTTTTGATTGACTCTGACCTTCCTCCTCTTTTTAGACCTCTCCACCATGCCAGCAGTGGCGAAACCAGCTAAAATGGTTTGCTTTATTGTAAGAGAGGAAGTACAGGTGATATTCAGATCAAGATTCTTTGTAGACCACTTATGGATAGAGACTTCAGGATTCTCCATAAAAACTCGGTAGCATTTTAGTGCGTCTTGCAATACAACTAGAGATGAAAGGATTTATTAGATCAGTCTTTAGACTGTATTGATATTACAAGCAAAAGAATGCAAACTACAACTGTGAATGTGTCCTCAAGGATTTGTTTTAAAGACCCTGCTTTATTAAGTTATTTAAATTACACCACATTGACATCTGGTAAGGATCAAGTAATAGGTTTATTCCATGCTGAAAAAAAGAAGAAAGAGAACACAACGTTTCGGCCGTGGAGCCTTCTTCAGGTGTCACCTGAAGAAGGCTCCACGGCCGAAATTTTGTGTTCTCTTTCTTCTTTTTTTCAGCATGGAATAAACCTATTACTTGTTCCTTTGCAGCCTACGCATGCTGACGCAGCTACCCACCTGAACTATCTGGTAAGGATGAGGGTTATAGCACACAGAAAGGAATTCTGTTTATCGGCCTGAGAATCACACCTACCTCTCTGGAGTGAATCTCTTTGGCATAGAGTGGAAAGAGAAATTCAGACTCTCCTTCAAGTCTGAGCCCATCACTTGTTATTCTTAAAAGTCCCATTCCTTCCTGCAAAAAAGTCAGAAAGAAAGAGAGTAAGAAAAGCACTTTATTGAAATAAATCCTTGGAAGTTTTGGATTATCACAGTTGGAACTTTTTTACCTTCTTATTTTTACCCAGTATGTTAACTATTTGTACAACATTCCTGAAGTGGCCAATGAAGACATCAGGGGTTGTCCCTGCAAGAGAAAGCACTGTCTTCCTGTTCTGAATACCACAGAGTGGTATTGCTCCCTGTTATTGATAAAATGACTAAAACGTGGTTAAATATGTCAAAGTCCATTTTGCAACTACATACAATATTTATACATTATTTCTAGAATTATTTTCAACAATCTTGTCGCAATAATTGCTCATTGAAACTGAAGCTCAGTGTTTTGAAGTTCAATTTCATCACCCTAAAGTTACTCAGCTTCCACCTGCCTTTGCAAATGAGGAACCACTTTCTATCTAGTCTGCTTATTATTTTGCTTCTTCATACCCCCAGCTTTCACTGGGACATACTTTAACTTTCACACACAGGGAGCATGACAATTCATTGTATTTCATCCAGCTGTTTTCAGGAAAGGCCTGTAGACATTAGGACAACCTCTGGAACATGGTAAATTTCAACACAAATTATTTTCAAGTCTTGAAGTGATATTGTTCACAAGAAATAAAGCAGTGTATCTACAGTACCATTGTGCCTTAGTTTTATGATTAAACATTAAGACAGCGAGTTCATGAATTACATTATTGGTTATTCACAACAGATACAGTTCTCCTTACAATCATACACCACAATCACACAAACAGTCCCAGACAGTCTAGTTTCAGGTCTGAGCACTTAAACAGCCAAATGCTCAGTGCAATCTCATTAATTTGAAATGAAGCACTATTCTTTCATAGCCTAATAATACTGAAGGAAGAAAATCACACCCATTGCACAGTTACATGTTTGGCCTGCAGTGCTCTTAACCAGCTCACTCGTCCAGCGTGACAATGTGATGCCAATCTCATCCTTTCAGGTTTGGTTTGTAAAGCAGAAGAGACCCTCAAGGCATCAAGAAGACATTTATCATTCGGCGGTTTTACAAGGCAGAGTAAACTAACGTATTATGGGCTTCAATATTAAATTAACTTGGATAATTTCACTCTAATTTGTGCTGTTCTGGTCTGTTGGATGCTTCTCAGCTCACAGTGGTTATCTTGGCTGACAAATTAAATCTTTTACAAGATGTGAAATGATTCTATAGAGGGTCAGCGTTTCACCTGATGATCTTTAGAATGTGCTATAACAAAAAGAAGAGTCGATGTTTTTGTCAAGAGAAACACATTTAGAAAAATAATAGGTAGAAAAAAATGATATAACTTTAACAATGCACAAGCTGCATTAATTGTGTCAGTTTTTTTATCTGTGAAATGATATGGAAATGTGAAAGAGCTCACAGGTATGGTGAGCAAAAGGAAATGCTATAAATGTATGTAACCCAAACCATTTCTGCAACGAACAGTTGTCTGTAACATCTGAAAGCAGTTGAAAATGACTGGCTGTCTCCAGCAATGAAATCTGTTTTTCCTTTTATCCTGGGTGGAATCTGATTAGGTGGACTGAGGCAGGGTGCTATTTGTTTCACCTAGACAGGGGCCTTAGCCATTGAGCATATGTATCTGATTAAGATATATATGTAGAAAATAATGTTTGGGTAATCTGCAAATCGTATACCATCATGACAATTTTGTTAATAAAACTAATTGACAGAAACATAGGTAGAGATGTGAGAGAGAGTTTCAGTGGTTGTATTGAGGAGGAACTCTAGGAAGGCCACATTGTAGAAGCCCAGAGTGGAGTTTAACCAGGACACTAAGGCTAACACCCCTACTGTTTCAAGCAGTGCCACGCGATCTTTAACAATCAAGAAGTCAGGACCCCGGTTTAACATCTCAACTGAAGGGTGGCATCACCCACAGCACAGTGTCCCCAGTCACTGGGACATGGCTTGGATGTTCTAGATCAGAGGGAAGAGCACCACCTACTGGTTCACCACCACCTGTACCAGCACCTTGATGCACCCAAGAAGTCTCACAATCCCTGTGCTGCCCAGACCACTGTTTTCGAGAGCCGGTGAAATCAGACCACTGGGCGATCATTAAGCTTCATGTTTATGGAGAACTAAAAATGTTGTATAGTACCTCTCGCTGGGGCTTGAGCTCTGCAACTGGAGAAGGTAACACTGATGACACCAATCATTCTACCAATTGCTTAAGGAAAAATGTGTCCAGTGGAAAGGGACTTTGAGGAACGTACAATGTATTTTACTGTGTGTGTCAGGATTTCTAACAGCATGCGGTATCATGCATGAGACAGGTTCAGGCTATATTCAAATAAGTGTTCATCCTCACATTCTGAGTGTACAGCCTGTCAAGCTAACCCTGTCATTTCAAATCCACTGCCACCCTTTAGCTTGGTGAGGTGTCAGCAGGTTTAAAGGCAGCCAAGGAACAGATGCATCTCACTTAATGTTGATCACGGCAAAAGCCAGTACTCGCTCAACTCTGGGGCAAAGGAAATCTAGCCAGGTGTGGAGGATTCCAAGCAATTCCAGTGATAACGTTCCACTCTCATTCTGTCAGTGTTATGAGGTTCTCTCTGTGCAGTAGTGATAGTGAATCTTGCATCAGTTTGCTCTTTTCTTTTGTTCTAACATATATATGGATTCCCATGACTGGAGAAACATTTTTACAAACCTAAATATCCATGTAAACCAAGGGTCTGAGTTTATTTTTGCAAAATATTAGCAATGACACTAAGTAAGAGAAGAAATAACTAACAGTGGCAAAACCCTTTGAAAACAAAATTACTAAAAGACCTCCCAGCATCATCTCAGTGTTTTCAGTGGTTAGCTGCAGTATATTAACAACTGAAAGCAAAAGCTATTGGAAAGGAACATGCAATCACTTTACAGTGACAGCACCGATTGGGCCAATTGTGCAGATCTGCTGTAGTGTGTTGAATGTGACATTGCAATCTGTCTTTATTTATCTTCCATTAAATGCCAGTAAGAGAAGAGAAAGCAACAGAGCGAGGAGTGTAAAGGAAAAATCAATGGCACCAACAGAACAATTAAAAAAGACACAGAACACAGAAAGAAACATTCTATGCTTCATGGATTCCAGTGTACAAGTACAGTGAAGAAATCATTGCTGAATGCAGAGTGAATCATTGAGACACACCAATTATCCAGAACAATCGGGCGTTCTTCAAGCCAAACCAAACTTTCTTTACAATAATTGAACCTTTCTAGGTTCAGGTCCTTTCTGCATCGGTGCATATCAGTGTGTGTTTTTCTTAAACTCACAGAGAGCTGCATCTTGCCTAAGAGACGGCTGTGGACTTGAATTCCTGCCGGACGGACCCTGCCATTGGGCGGGACTCCGAGGAGCCAGTGAGATAGAGCGCAGGTCTGTTGGGCTCTTACTGAATGGGTGGATATGGATCCGATGCGGGAGTGCCCCTTCACAGAATGGGTATGTTTTGAAAAGGAAGGAGCCGAGGCTACAAAACTCCGAGGAGCTGACATGTTACCGCACTGCTGGGGATCCATGACCGCTTTTGCCCATCAGTGTGCTGGTCCTTCATCACAACACTCTCCTCTTGGCTCACACTGGTGCAGGTGTCTGGGCCCCCATCGCACGCTGTGGTGAAGTATACCGCTGGACGGCCCATCTGCTCTGAGAAATGTAGGTGCCGCCTATTGAACTCACCAGCATGACCTTCTCTCTTGATCGGGCCTCTTTGCCTACGAGGTGAATGCTTCACTGGTTCGACTTAATTTTCAGACCTTCTAATTGGGGAAAATAATTCTTAGCTTAATTTATTTCAGTTCTCGGTAACATCCAACAACTTAAGATATAGTGCTTTTAGCTTATCTTTCTTCCCATCTTGTAAAGAAAATGACAGCTCACCTTATTTCACAGCTTAACATAACTCACATGCTGTTTTTTGTAATGTTTTTTTTAATACAAAATGAATCTGGTCCCGATTTCTGGATTTACCAGAGCATGTCTGGTAAAAAAGACAGTCGAAGTTTAAGAATATTTCAGAAAGGGTATTACACCATACTTTTATGCGGGCCGTTTGAAAAACCCAAATGGCACAATGAAATGTAAATATACACTAACAAACAGAAACAGTTTATTGCATGATCTTTTTAATTGTATCCTTTCATATACCCAAGTACAGAAATACCTCTACATCAGAACTGAAGGCCATCCTTATTCCATTTTCTCATTTAGGTAACCTCTGCAAAAACGGCATGTTTTCATATTGCTGAAGATTCTGAGGATTTTTGCTCCCATCTGTGACAAATCTGATACAGCCCACGGGGTCAATGCCCAATGGTTTTTTAATAGAGATTAAGTAAGGCAATGTTAAATTATTGCACGCACAATCTACTGTCTTGGGAGTCGACAAATTCTATAAACTCAATGACAGTCAATGAAAACACAAGAAGTAATATTTACCCGCCAATGCAGGAGCCCGAACAGACCATCATCTGGCTCCAGTTACTAGATAGTGATCTGTAATGAGTGTTCTGTCTGAGATGCTTCTGACGACCAGAGTTCTGCAGATACCAATTTCATTGAAGAATTATCCCTCCTGGGCTGTGTGCCAACAGTGATAGTGAATCAATGTCGCTTGTGTGAATTAAGTACAAGCCTCTGGGGAGCAACACTTAATCCAATACATATCACTCAGCCAGTCTCTATAGGGACAAAGAGAGCTGCACACTAATATCTTCCAAAGAATCACTTGCAGTATAAGAGACTGGAAAACACCCCCAGCAACACCAAGGTGTCAGAAGGCCACATAAACTAAAACTCATCTTGGATTAGAACCAAAAGCCATAATCCTCCACAAAAACCAAGCTCTTTGTTCACTGCTGCGTTCATTTCACAGATGACAAGTGGCATTTTTGTACAACACTAGAAGTTTTGTCGTTAAACATTAAGCCCTCTGCACATTGTCTGTATTCATTTTCCAATTCAGAAAGTACATGAGTATTTAATTCAGCACACAAAATCCGATATTGCTCCTACTAGAAAGACATGCACTCAGACACCATTGACTTTACTTGTGTGCCTGATCCAAGATCCAAATCCCACATGGTGTACTTAGAGGAATGTCTTTTTTTGACAGCAGCAGAGAGGAGCTTCTTTGGGTATTCGGTGCCTTCTTAAAAAAAAACATTCAGAGCCACCAGACACCTAAAGGAGCAGCTCAAGGTCGGCTTTGACTACAATCTGCTATTTGAATAACAGAAAGCAGATACATTGAGCAGAAACGCTGTCAGGGTAAACAGTTAGACGCTGTTTACAAATACTTGTAAAATCAATCGGCACTGAAACATGCTGTGATCTTCAATATCTAACTGAGTCACAACTTGTCAGTCCATGGCTGAAGTTACTGAGGTGGGACTTTCGTAAAGGACAGCCAAGGACTGTTCAGAATATTTGACACTGGAAAATATTGTAACATGAGCTCAAGCCCCCCTCCACTCCCAGGAGTCATCACGGCAGTTCATTGGAACAGTCTACAGAGGAGAGCTATATAAAGGATGTCTCCCCTTCCCCTCCCCAATTAAAACTTTCCAACTGTCCCCATGATTTTTTTCCCACCCAGCTGTCACAGTGCCCTGGGATGTTCATTTACAATTGCAGAGTCACTACATACTTTACACACTTCCATAGGCAGTGTGTTTCAACTTCATGCCGTCACTGTGTCTGATCAGGACAAAATTACCGGGACGACTTCATCGAAGGGGAATGGAGTGTTATCTCAGCGTCAAAGGGCCCTGTGGTCAGCCGTGCAGGCAGACAGTATCTGATCCACCAGCACGGGGCTGATGCTTCTGCACGCGGTCTCCGGCGAGCTGGCCGAAGCACGCCTGTGCTCCTGACGGAACGGGCTAGGGGCTGTGCTGGCCAGAGAAGGTGCCAGCAGCTCGAGAAGATGTGGAAGAGCGAAGGGAAAACTCATTTCTACGGCTGACGCGGAGTCGTGAGCCACATGGGGATCATGTGAGCTTTTCCTGCTGCACACATTTCCAGGAAGTGAGGGGTATTACACCCCAATTTTAAAAGTGGGGGAAAACGCCTTTCTGGTGCCCCTGGGTTCTAGTGCTGTAACACTTAGGCCTTGAATGTGCTCATACTGCCGAACAAGGAACCTGTTTCCTCAGCCTGCAGCATGTCGCCTATTTTACTTCGCCTCCAATACAATATTCTTTTCTCTCTTTTGGAGTTTCTAATATGGTGCGATTGCACAAATTACAAATTAATTGCACAATTGTTCTTAATGCAGTTCTCCTTTTTTGATTTGATGCTGTTCTTTTTTCTATAAAGTTCTTTCTTTCTTTTCTATTAATGTATTGAATGATTTTTAATACGCTGTTTTCTAGTCTTTGATGGATTTGGTCTTGGGACGAACCTGTCCTTCGCTTCAAGCAGACCTACAGCCGTTCCCATTCCCTTCCCATTCTACTGATCCCACATCCCATGCATTCACAGTTCGCTAATGAGTCTCTGACCCCTGTTGACTGTTTGAAAAGACAAGATCAACACTGGCTAATTAAAGAGACATTATAACCTATATAACTAGCATCCATCATTTTACTGTCAGTTTCTGATGTCCCTGATGTTTTTTTTCCCAACCTATGGAACGAAAATAACAATCTCCTGTGATAGCCCCATCTTTACATACTGCACACTCTAATTTAATTGTACAAGACTTCATTAAACCTCTCAGCATGTGATGGCCTGCATCATGCCCGTAACACCATGTGTTGTCTAATGTCCTCACACACTCTGATATGTTTATTATTATGGTAGAAAAAATAATGGAGTCCACCTCAAAGTCAAATGCAGCATTGTTTACCACTGTTTTGTTGTTTTACTTTGCACCCTCACCCTGTCAATTGCTTTTCCTTCTTCATCTCAATCTTAAATCACTCTGCTTCAGGACAGTTGTTGTTTTAACCGCAGAAAAGTGCGGACACACACAACATTAATGGACATCCCTCTGACAAGGAGACCTAGAAAACTCATACATCAGAAATGTGTCTCTTGCCTGATATGTCAGCCTGCATCTCATCATTGACTGTATAATACAGGACGATAATAAACTGCTTTGAAGTTGCCAGAAAATTTGTGCTTTAGATTGAATGTCAACTCTGACAAGAGAGTTCTCTATAAATAATATCTGTGTAACAGATGAAGCCAAAGTCATCAGTATACAGATTTTCCTGCACTGTCAGATGAGTTAAGATATGTCAGATAATGATATGAGGATGTCTGAGAAGAAGAGTTTATTATTCAAGATAAAACCAAGATATTTAGAAATCTTATTTTGAAAGTTACAAGTAATAGGTTTATTCCATGCTGAAAAAAAGAAGAAAGAGAACACAACGTTTCGGCCGTGGAGCCTTCTTCAGGTGT